AGCAGGAAACAGTCTGATCTTCTGGACGGGAACCAGCTCAGACGGCGACTTCTGAGCCTCGGCCCCAACAGTCAGCCGACTCATGTCAGGGTTCTGATGCTCCCAGTCCACAGGTCTTGGTCTTCCAGGATGCATATTCTGTTTTTTTTTTTGGTTCACTGGTTGCTGTGATTCGTTTGACATAAAATGTTTCTGAAAGTAATCTGAGGCAGTCGAGCATCCTACTTCACGTAGATTCACGTTTATAAAAAACTTCCATTCTTAAGCAACACTATTAAGATATATTTTAAAATCCCCATATTTTCCAGACTATAGGTGGCACCGGAGTGCTAGTTCATGTATTTTGTGGTAATGTTAATTTCACGAGAAGCCAAGAATAAATGCTAAATCTGGACAACATAACAGCAGAGAGAACGTTGGATGAATGTATTAGCGCAACATGCTAACAATCTGAATCCATTCATCCTCCGTTTCCACCAACATTTCCACCAACTCTCGTCTTCTGCTGGTCTGTCGTCAAACTCATCAGCATCAGTTCCAGTTAGTACTGTTGGTTTCTTTTGTGCTGCTACACTATACTGTCGTATTACGTTTCGTCTTTCTGGTCACATTTTGTTTGTGTTTTTTTACATTTTATTTGTGTTTTTGTAAGGACATTTTATATGTGCCAGCACTCACTGGAGCAGCAGCATTCAGTTGTCAGTGTTGACAGTGCCATCTTGTGGCCATAGTTGATATTGTATACATTTTGAATTAGCTGCGTGTCCAGCCAAACAAAAAAGTCAACTTATAGTCTGGAAAATATGGCACTTTAAATGTACTGTTTGGATCCTACTCTGCACCTTAACCTCCAGAGAGATTTGGTTGCTAGGCAGAAAACACTGTGAGAATTCTGGGACTCTATGACAATCAAACTGCCAGAATCATGACCAGTCAGTTTGGCGACAAAGCCGAGCTTTGAGCGATGCGCTGAAGACCAGGACAGTTTGTTACAAAGTGTTGCTTTAACTTCAACTCCTTCTGTCTTAAGGTAATACCATGACTGTCCTCCAGGCTCATCCCTCCCTGTTTCTCCGGTTTCCATACAATGCTCCCTCCTCCTGCGATTGTCACCCATTCCTCCCCACTCCGCAGCACCACTGAGGCAGTCGGCAGTGAGTTTCGGACTCAATCGTAACACCAGACTGGCTGTTTAATACCCAGTGAGGAGGAACCACGTCTGGGTTCCTTCACAAACAGAAGAACTTAAGAAGTAAGAGCGGAGTGAAGGGAATGGTAGAGAGGACACCTCTCAGAGGCTTGTTGCCCGTTAAGACCCAATGTGGGCTCAGTCCTGTCTAATCTGGCCCGGTCTAACACTTGTTTGGTTAGGCCAAATCCAGTCCACTCTGGCCTGCTCTGGTCTCAGTGGGAGCCAGACCAGGGGTTTTTAGAAGAGTGCTTTGGAGCCCTGGTTCTCAAACTCTGACCAGGCGTCATTCAGTTCCATGAAGATCATTTTAGCGTAATGCTCATACGGCTGCCCGGCCGCCTGCACGGAGGAAAAACACAGGTGATTCAAGCAGTGCCGGGGGGGAAAAACAGACGACTTAGCACAATGGAACGTAGTTTTTTTTTTTTTTTGATACGGTACCTTATCCGGATGCACCACCAGCGCGGCCTTTCTGTAGAACTTCTTCACCTGATCAGGAGTCACCAGGTCAGCCATGCCCACGGGCCTCCAGCGAGTCTCGCCCTCCCACAGCACTGTGTGCAGAGTCGAGAGCAGAGCTCTGATGTTCCGCTCCTTTCCCTCGATCCAGTCCAGGATCTGGTGTTGTCAAAAAGACCAACCTTATCACAGACTGAACATTGTGTTGTACATGTTTTGATTCTTTTTTTTTTTTTTCATTTTTTCATTTACCTGTAATTTCAGTGGATCCATTTCTCTGGTCATCTCTTGTCTTCTCATTTCAGCGATGGTCCTCGGTCCCTTCCTGTCGTTCTTGGACGCAAAGCCCTGAGTGGACAGCAGGTCTTCGAAGTCGTCCTCCTTCACCTTTGGTTTTGGGCCTGCTTTACAACACAGAAAGAACACTGAGCATGTATATGTGTGTGTGAAACTGGAAAATTAGCAGTACCACCAGGAAATGTTGGGGGGCAGTGTTGCGCAGCATAGCTCGTAGGACCAGAAAATAACAGAGAAGAAGACGACGACAGAACAACAGAAATGTTTAAGGAGACGCTGCAGAAATGCGTGTCACTAGACTACGTGTAAAACTTATGGCTCGTGGGCAGAATCCGGCTCATGGCGTCATTTTATGCGGCCCCCGCCAAAGATTCACGTGTGCATAAAGGCAGTATAAATGACCAGCAATCGAACCTCCAGCATCGACTACTTTTTTTCTTCTTACCAAACCCTGGGCCACGTATTCCTCTCTCCTCTCTCCCACCGATGACGCTGGAGAAGTTGAGATTGTAGTTGGGTTTGCTGGGCTGTGCGCCCCCAGGCTGAGACGCTGCAGAAGGTTTGGGTGCAGGACCAGATCCAGACATCCAGGGTTTGTTCTGGGCTGCGGCCCCTTTACCGGACTGCCAGGCCTGGGCCTGTGGCTTGGTGGAGGAGGACGTGGAGGCGGAGGAGGTGGCCTTCGAAGTAAAAGACGGCCCCGAAAAATTACTGCTGGACGAACCTGTGAGAGATGTGGACAAAATGGAGTCAAAAAGTCCCAAGACATAATGATGATGATGATGATAATTAATATTATGGCTCAAGCTAGACCAGAAGAACAGGAGTCTCACCTGGTAAAGTGGGGCCTAGATTTCCAAGGTCAGCAAAGGGGTCAAAGGTCTGAGACTTGGCCTTTGACATTGAGGACATACCAGCAGCTGCAGGGAGACCACAGATGTGAGGAGACGCAACCACTAACACATGCACATAATCCCACATTTTTTACATCTTAAAAGT